CAGTCAGGATTTGGCCCAGAAGCTAATATCCAGCATACCAGAGCGAATTGCAGAGGTTATTCTGCAATATAATAATTTATTATTATGAAGAACAAGGGTCAACACTGTAAATATTGACTCATTATATTTTTTGGCAATAAAACCCTTTAAAACTTGAAATGATATGCTTATCATTGTTTTTCAGTATACAATAGAAACATGTGGAAAAATAATCTCCAAATACTGAAGCAGCAAACTTTGCAAAACACAAAATTTATGTCACTGCCAAAACTTTTGGCCATGACTGTAGATGGTAAATTGGTAACTCTTTTCAAAAAGTTTCCATTTGTTAATGCTAGTTACATACAGCTATCTATCTATCTATCTATCTATCTATCCTATAGTTATCCATCCATCTATTCATCATATATTCATCCATCCATCCATCCATCCAAACAAAAGTGAACTTTTAACATAATTGTAATAATATATTAACGAGGAAACAGTCCATCAGTACAAAAATATCTGATCTTTGCCCAAGAATTCAGGTTATGTCCTGTTTTTTTCTCTCTGATGGGTCCACAAAAAAACAAAACAATTTATTTTAGCCTTCGGTAAGTTTTAAAAGGTTTGGCTCCATTAAAGCAATAAGGTCTGATGTGTTCAGCCCAACCCTAAACACAGTAATCAAGACAGCAGGGGACAGTGGAGCACAACACTAATGTAGCACAGCTGTGCTAACTACTTTTCATTTCAGGCAGAGCTTTTTGATGAGAAGTGACAGAGTAGCTGAGAATAAACGTCTCGGTTACATACGTATCCCTCATTCCCTGATGGAGGGAACAGAGACTTTATGTTGTGACGACATAGGGGGTTCACTTGGGAGCCCCAATCCTCTCTGACTTTAAGAGAAAATGCCAATGAAATTTAGCTAGTGTATTTTGCATACCTGAGCCACTCCCCTTGCATACGGGCATAAATAGGCGACAGGTGCATCCACTCTTCAGGTTTTATGCAGAGGAGCTGAGAACTTGTCCCTGGCAACCAGCGATGGTTCGGGTTTGTGGCATGGGGACATAACGTCTCCGTTCCCCCCATCAGGGAATGAGGGTTACGTACATAACCAAGACGTTCCCTATCTGTCGGTCACTACGAGTTATGTTGTGACGACATAGGGGGTCCATGGAAAGCGCCACAACAAGAACCCCGTCACTACCTTGTAGCGCTGCAAATGTTGACAATCAGCCACGTGCCAGACAAGTGCTACGCGAGGGTCGTAACCTTCCCAACGCCCCAGCGCAAATTCGCTGACCTTGGACCAAAGGTGAGTACATCGCTGCTGGAGATAGCCAAACTGCTGTTCCTACCACAGAAAATATTTTCTTAAGAGAAGGGATTTCGACCTTCGTGAAAGGTGCTTCACGCTTTACCTGTTTGTTGTTTACAGCTTGGCAGTAATGATGGGGAAGCGAGCCTTCCGGAGAAGGGCGCGATGGAGACCACATCCTGCCCGTAGGGAGGTATCATGTGGAGACACTGATATAGACTGACCCAGGCCTGGGGCAGTACTACATATGGAATGGGTCTCTGAGGCAGGTTCTACCTAGGAGTAGGGATGAACGGCTGCCAGCAGAGACTGACAGAGTGGTCTGTCAAAGGGAAGACACGGGTTCACCGAGATGGAAACCGTACCGTGGAAGAATACACATATGGGATCGCCCGCAGGGAATCAAGCCATATGGACACCTAGCCCAGTAAAGGGGCTGACCAGAACCCAGGGCAAGCTAACAACGATACTGGGTCTGACGCCAGACTGCTCCGCCCTGGGTTCGCCGTCCGTGGAACTTACTGGAGGAGGAAAAGGCGCTCGTATCCACGGGTGAGGGGGAATGGCACAGCAAGTGTGACACCGGCCGGCTCTTCCTGCCACTTACCTGTTACCCAACACGGAAGAAACCGCAGCGCCAGTTCATAGGAGGAGGCAACACTCCGTGTGGAGTGAGCCCTCACCCCCAGGGGGCATGGCTCGCCTTGGGATTGGTACGCCAAGGCGATGGCATCCACTATTCAGTGGGCCAACCTCTGCTTGGAGACAGTCTTCCCTTTCTGCTGACCTCCGTAGCAGACAAAGAGCTGCTCAGAGCTTCTGAA